AGGCAGGGTTTGCTGTTTGCCTCTCTGTCCCTTCACGTGTGGGTCACGTAAGAGACCATCCTCTTTGAAAACCAGAATCAGGTTCCAAAAAGTCCACACGGTTGGATTTCACTGTTAATTCCTTCCCTTTCAGCCCCTTGTGGACTCCTCCTCCAGGGAGCCCTTGGAACACGCAGGTTTTTTTTCTTTTCCATGTGAGTCACAGACGCCCCTCCCACAGCACGAAGGCACTTTCATCTAGCCCTTTGTCCAAATACCATTTCAGAGCCTTGTTTATAACAGATGTCAGCAGCCTGCGTTATAAAATACACACTATTTGTCAATGAAATATAAAGCTCAAAGAAAAAAAATAGTCTGTTTGCTTATAAACTCTTCGCGGTTTTGCCAGACAATAAAATAAGTTGACTCTTCAGCAGACGTTTTTGTTAAGTCCCTGTGGAGATTCCTTTCTCCTCTCCTGTTCTGGGTAAAGGCCAGTGTGATCTGTGTTCTGTACCTCCTGGAACCCCTAAGAAGGAGAGGGGAGCTGAGAGCCCAGTATGTATGCAGCTGTGGGACTAAGAAGAAAAATGGCCAATCTCTCCCGGGCATCTGGGCAGGAAAACCCCTGCATCAGTAGGAATGGAGCGATCCCCTCAAAGACTGGATGGAGCTCCCATCCCCTCTTCCTCGTGCTCGGGTGACGGATGTATCATTGCTTCCCAAAGCCAGGGATTGCAGGGAGAACATGGTCAAGATGCGGACTTTTTCTTATTGGTAACAGTTTTCTGTCTTCTTTCATAAGAACATTTGCTTTAGGAATTAGCCCATGCATCTTGAGCCCCTGATAAAAATCAAATGGTATTTTTATTTTTTATTACCTTTTGCTTGTTTGATGTTTCTTTTTTAAAATGTTGAAGTTTTATTTATTTTCATCCACTTGAGAGAGAGAGAGAGCAAGAGCTCTCCCATTGGCTGATTTACTCCCCAAATGCCCACAATAACCAGAGCTGATCCAAGCTGAAGCCAGGAATCCAGAACTCCATCCAGGTCTCCCGTGTCGGGAGCAGGGACCCAGCACTTGGGCCATAACCTACCTCTTCCCAGGATGCAACAGCAGGAAGCTGGACAGGAATCAAAGCAGCCAGGACTCAGAACAGCTCTCCTGTATGTGTCTAAAAGCATTGCCAAGTGGAGGCTTAGCCCGCCACACTGCAGTGCCTCCGCTTAATTTCTCTTTTTGAATCGATTTTACAGGGGTCTAATTACGCTCAAAATGCTTCCATGTTAAGCACACAGGTCCATCAGTTTTGACCACTGTGAACACCTGTCATGTAACTAAACCATCACCAAGAGGTTCTCCTTACATTTGCAATCGGCATTCCCACTCCCAACCTCTGGGAACCACTGCTTCACTTTCTGCCACTGTAGATTCATTTTGCCTTTTCTACGAATCCACATCCATGAAAGCCTGCATCAGGTAGCCTCTGGTATGTGGCTTCTGTCACTCAGTGTGTTTGTTTCACAAATCACTAGCTCTTGCCTTTCGTGGTGGCCCAGTACTCCGTTGTGTGGATATCCTTCAACTCATGCCTCCAACTTGAAAGCTGTCCATCTGGTTGTTTATTACAAATAAAGTTACTAGGGACACTCACGCAAATTCTTGTGTGGCTATGTGTTTCTATTTATCTTGGTTAACCAGCAAGAACCACAGCGGAAAGGTTGAGTAATAAGCTAAGAGTGTGTTTAACTTTGCAAGAAATTGCCAAACTGTTTTCCAAAGCAGTTGGGCCCTTTCGCACTCCTATCAACAATGCTGAGAGTTCCGGTGGCTCCACAGTCTCACCAGCACTTGGTATTGTCGGTCTCCAAGATTCAGCCACTGTCAAGGGTAAGCTAGAATGTAGCGCCAGCTCATTGTGATGTTCATTGCCATCGGTTTGACAGTGAGCGATGTCGAACATCTCTTCGTGTGCTTTTTGGCCATTTAGGTGTTTTCTTTTGTAAAGCTACTGTTCATACTTTTGTCCATTTAAAAACTGAGTTTTTCTTATTGAATTATAAGAGTTCCTCCTGTATTCTGGATATTGCTTGTGTCATACGTGCATTTTGTGAGTAGATACCTTGTGTGCCGATTCACATTCTTCTAGAGTCTTTCAAGGAATTTTTTTTTTAATTATTATCAGATCAAATGGACCTTTTTAAAATGGTAAGTGCTTTTTATACACACTTCACCTAAGGCAAGGGCATAGATTTTTCTCCTGTCTTTTCTTCTACCCCCAGTCCTCGGCGAGCTGATACGGTGTGGCTCCCAACGCATGTTCATTGAATAAGCAAAGGACAAATGAATGAATGAATGAGGCGAGTTTTGAATGCTGACATCATTAAAAGAAATAGCGCTTTGTGAATATGAGTACCTTCCCAGGAAGGGCTTATTTATTTCCAGAACTTTCTTCACTCTCGGCACAGTCACCAAGCGGCCCTTCCTGTAGAAGAAACAGGAACTTGGAGTTGAACCAGCAGGTTCTCCCTGCCTTTCAAGACGGGCAGAATCTCAGCGGGTGTGTGTGTGTGTGTGTGTGTGTGTCTCCTGCCTGAGTCCCCTCTGGCTCCTCGCCCTTAACTCTCAGTGCCTCAGTTTCCCGATCCGTATTTTCTAAGCATTTCTATGAGGAAGCGATGCCTCCACAGTTTAGAGGTGCCAGAAATAACTTTCCTATGACTCAGCTCACTTTCTGACTGTCTGCTTGTCCAGGAAGACGGGACAGCACAGGTGCAGCTGACGCACCATCCTCACGCTCGCAAGTGCTGTACAGGGGGTCCTCACTGTTGCTCAAATGGGGCATCTGGGCCTGGCTGCTCGGCCTCAGACTCATGCTGAGGGCATGAGTCTCAGTGAGGTCTCCCCGGGCATCTGCCACTCTGGGGTGTGGGAGGCCCAGGCAGGACCTGGCTGGGTGGGCGGAGGCAAGGTCCAGTGCCCTGGGACCACAAGGCACTGGGGAGCAGCTGGCCTAGCCTGGGAGGGACGCCCCTGTGGCTCCCTGCTTCTCCCAACACTTGCTGTGGGCCCTGTGTCCTGGACCCTTAACTTCATCAGCTGCACTGAGCAGCTCGGCACAGCTGAGGAGCTGCTGGAGAGGAAAGACAGGAGGAGGAGGGGAAATAGGGGGTTTTCCAGAAGTTCCCGGAGAAATGGTGCATGGATTTCAACACGTTTTACACTAAAATTAACTCATAAAAATTTTTTATTTATTTTATTTGACAGGCATAGAGAAAGAGAGAGAGAAAGATCTTTGATCTACTGGTTCGCTTTCCCCTGAGAAAGCCAGGGTTGGCCCAGACCAAAGCCAGGAACCTGGAAATCAACCCAGGTCTCCCATGGAGGTGGCAGGGGCCCTAGCACTGGAGTCATCATTTGTTGTCTCTAGGGTGTGCCTTAGGAAACTGGGACTCGAACTCAGGCCCTCCAATATGAGATGCAGTCGTCCCAAGCAGTGTCTGAGCCACTGTGCCCAACATCCACCCTTGAACTTACCTTGTAATTCCATTTTTCCATGAAATGTTTGAAGAACCCTCACATCAGGGGCCGAAAGAGCCAAAGGTCTCAGTGAGATAAGGGGTCCGGAAGCAGCCTGCAATGACGTCATGTAAGCTGTTCCTGTGATTGCTATTTTCATCCCCGGGGGGACTCAGAGAGTGAGGAGCCCCAGTGTGGGACGGGATCAGGAGGAATCCTCACCACCAGGGCTGGCTCGGAGGCCGCCTTCCTCCCGCTCTGCTCAGCAGGGAACGCCCGCCAATTTTCAGCCCATGTGACCAGACTTTCATCCAAGACAATCTGAATTAATTTTGTGCATGAAATTTGCAGGGATGCAGTGCCAAATGTTTAATTGAAATCAAGTTGCAAAGTTTCCCTCATCTACAGATTTTGTAAATCCCGTCAAAAACAAAATTGAAGCCGTTAGGCGTGTCTGGCCACATTTGTCCTTTACGTACAGCGGTACTCGTGGCTTCCGGCCCCTCACTCTGCTTGCACACCCCTCCTGCCCGCCGGTATTCGTTCTGGCACTTGCTGGTCCCTGGGCAGGCCCAGCATGCTGTCAGCTCTCTGACTTTGCCAAGTCTAAGATCCCTTTTAGGGACTCATTTTATTTAAAGAGCACCCCATTAATGGGTTTAATGGCCTTTCAATCACTTAGTGTGCATTGTCAATGAAGGCGCATTGATTTTCTGAGAATTCCTGCTCTGGGAGGAAAACAAACAGCCCTTCCTTCCCGCTGCCGTGCGGCCAATGAGCAGACGGCGCAGAGCTGGGCTTCTCCCAGCTGCCGGCCCTCCCCTCGCAGTGGGCCTGCAGGGTGGCTCTCTCAGCACTGCAGGGAGGAAGACACCCTCCTTCTTCCTCCCTCTCCCTTGGGACTGTAACTCCCTGGCTCAGGGGACACCACCAACTTGGCATGAGCTTTGCTGTCGCTCTCACAAGAGTTAGGCACTCCCACATTTGTGCCACCCTCGTTGGTAAAGCGTCAAGCCATTCACCATGGAGAGTGACCAGGTCCTCTGGGGTCGCAGAAAAGGAAGGCACAGAATGGCAGGTGTTTTGCGTCCAGGGTTCCCCAGGCACCACTCCCCGTCTGTGCGGAGTCCGGGGTGTACCCCCTTCCCCAGGGCAGCCCCTGACCCTGTCAGTATCCGTCGATGACCTTCTGTCTCTCAGATGTTCTGCTTGGCACTGTGGGAAATACAAGGGGTCTTCAACAAGTTCATGGAAAAGAAAACCACACACAGATTTCAAAATTTTTGCACCAAAATAAATTTAACTTTCAGCTCCATGTCCATGAACTTTTGTTCACTCAGGCCCATACAGCAGCTACAGCCCACGCTTGGGTTTCTTGCCAAGTTAAAGTCTCCCTTAGGTGCGGTTATGTGAAACTCCCTCCTCCCTCTCCCCACCCCCTCCCCTTTCCCCATTCTCTCCTCTTCCTCCCTCTCTTAAGCCTTTGCCCCAGAATCACCCATTAAAGCCCCACATTCTCAATCACCACAGCTACCTTTATTTATGTATTTGAGAAGTAGAGTTATAGATAGAGAGGGAGAAACAGAGAAAGGTTCCACCGCTGTTTCACTCCCCAAATGATCGCAACACCCGGAGCTGTGCAGATTTGAGGCCAGGAACCAGGAGCTTCTTCTGGGTCTCCCACATGGGTGCAGGGGCCCAAGGACTTGGGCCATCTTCCACTGCTTTCCCAGGCCATAGCAGAGAGCTGGATCGGAAGAGGAGCAGCTGGGACATGTACCGATGCCCATATGGGATGCCGGCACGGCAGGCGGCGGCTTTACTCCCTACACCACTGCGCCAGCCCCCACAGCTACCTTTTATGAAGACTGGCAAGGTGCGGGAGTCCCCTCCTCTGTGTTCTGCTCTGCTCGCACAGCAGCCCTCACCAGCAGTCTAGCTATGCAAATGCTATTTCCACAACCTTCCCAGCAGGGGGCTAGATCCAACCTACGTGAAAATCTTGCCCCTAAGCCCTCGTGCTCACCTGGTCTGGTCTTGCTCTTTATGGTGCTGTCTTCCCCAGAGAGTCCTAACTGACCAAGGCATTGGGGGTATAGTGGTCAGCAGAATGGCCTTCTCCAGGGAATCCTAACAGAAGTGAAACAGGCCTACTGATGTCCAGCTACTTAGAATACCATTACCACCACCACCACCAACAACAACAACACTACTACTACTAATAATAATAATAATAACAGCTATCAACTACGAAAGCCCATCCTGTGCTAAACACTTCATGTGTCTGCTTAATCCTCACAAACCAACCTCAAGAATTGAAGGAAAGGACACCATGGTGTTAAGTGACTTGCCCACTGTCTCAGAGTTGTCCAGTGGCAATCGTGGGGACATTGCTGCCACTGATGCAGCCTTCTGATCCGCCAAGCACCGGCCTGAGGGTTACTTGTACTTTTTAAAGTCCTAACAAGGCAAATCTTAGTATCCATAGTGACAGATGACGACAGTGAGGTCTGAGAGTCAAAGTTCACCTGCCCAAGGTTCCCCAGCCTGTGATGCGGGTGCTGGCTGCTGGGACCAGGTGAGAGCTGGTGCCTACGCTCATCACAACAACGCCATGGTCACGTCTCTAAGGCCCTGTTCTTCGCTTTGCACCAAAGCTGCTTCCGTCCCCTGCTAAAGCCCTTGGAACAGGGCCTGTAAGTTTCCCTGAAACAATAGTTGGAGAACCCGAGAGACGCCAGGGCTCCTGGCAGGGCTGTCTCCCGCCCTGAGCTGGAATCTCATTTGCATTTGTCCTTCTGCAGTAGTTCCAATTCCCAAGCAGAACACAATTTAACTGTAAAATTTGCCTTAACTAGGCAGCTGTCTGCCGCAGTCAGGCAGCAGGCTCAGGTGCGACTCCCAGTGGGCCCCCCGAAGCCGCGTGCCAGCCCCTGTACAGCAATATGAAGTCACCTCCGAGAAATGAGATGCCACTTGGAAGAGGCACATGCTGGCGCGCCCGCTTCTCTTCAGCTCGCAGTGGCCCAGGGGGTGCCAATCATGACTCAATTATTCCCGGACTCCTCTCCTACAGCCAGCCCTGTCACTTATGAGAACCAGCGTGGGCCCCACTGCCACATGTCCAGGGCCAGGAGTGTCGCTAGGGCAGTAGGTTGGCAGGGAGGGGTATTGGGTTTCATTGACTTTCCTTCACCACACTGTCGCCTGGCCACCAGATGAGCAATCCCAGCATCCATCGGGAAGACACTGCTTCCCTTCCCAAGAAACATCCTCTGCGCCTCTACTGTGTCTAGGGCGAGATGCTGAGGGCCCCAGCGTGTAGACAGGTGCAGGGAGCGCCAAGGAGGGTAGGATCAGCTGCCCTCCGAAAGGCACAGCCAAGAAACTCAAAGACCTCTGCTTAGAGCGTTAGCTGGGATGGAGGAAGCAGATGAGGTTACTGGGGGAAAGACCAAGGAAAAGTGTCCAGGTGGGGACTCCTGCAGAGGGGCAGAGGGGACGGCAACGATGTCCTGGAAAGGGAGGAAAAGCACAGAAGCCCAGGAAGCCCAGAGTGACAAGTGCGGGGGACGAGTCCACAGGGTCCCATGAGACAGAGATAATGGCAGGAGAGGAGGCCAGGGGCTGGGGCGGGGGAGGGGGTGCTGCCGACAGTGCTCAGAGAACAGTGTCAGGAAAGGGTGCCTGGCATTCCCCCAAGTACTTGGCTGCAGTGATCAGAAATGGTCTCCGGAGACGGACCGCCCCTCACGATGGTACCGGGTCGTCTTCGGGAGGAGGAGCCGAGAGGAGATGCACACAGACTCGCAGCCTCCACCTGCATCACGCTTCCATCTCGTTCTTTCTCGTTGCTGTTTGAAAAAGTACATTTAGAATGGGGGTAGGCAGTTCTTCACCCTGCCCCATGTTCGCCCCTCTCCGGGGGATCCTATGACCTGGGTTTCCTTCCTCCCGTCTGCTCCAGAGTCCAGAGACAAACTTTCCATTCTGAAGATGACATGGATCATTTTCTTCCTCCCCACAGACACCGGCATCCTAGCCCTTTCACCACTCACCAACCCCCCCACCACCACCACCACCAAATACAGGCAGCAGAAGCGTGCAAAGCTACAGATCGGACCATGTCATTTTATTACTCGTCTGGGGATCTGGCCAAATCTCTGGAAGCTATTGGCTCAAACGACACTGGAGGTTATCTGAGGGCCCCAGTTATTTCACTCCCCCCCGGGAGAGATCTAAGTGAACACGGCTTAGCTAGAGCATCTCCTTGCCCTTGACATTGTCTTGCATCAGAGCTGTCTGATCTGGGGTTCCAGATTGTGGCCTTTTCAGATTGGAGGCACTGGGAGTTAGCGTGGCCGGTACCAGCAGGTAGGTGCTTCCCCCAGTCAGCAGATTCACCAGCTTCACACGCAGCCTGTCTTGGTGACAGCTGAGCTCAGGACATGATCAGATGATGTGGTGGTTTCTATTGACTTCTTATTGAGTTTTGAGGGGGGTGCATTTTGCAAGAGCTCCAAGAGAGGGCCAGCATGTGAACAACAGCTTTAACCTAAGCCACCTGTGACACTGGCTTCCTATCAGAGCACTGGATCCAGCTGCTCCGCTTCCCATCCAGCTCCCTGCTAACGTGCAGGAATGCAGCATGGGATGGCCTAAGTGCCTGAGCCCCTTCACTCACACAGGAGATGCGGATGAAGCTCCTGGCTCCTGACTTTGGCCTGGCCCAGTCCTGGCCATTGTGGCCAGGTGAGGTGTGAACCAGCAGGTGGAAGCGCTCGCTCTCTCTCTCTCTCTCTCTCTCCTTCTCCCTCTCTTTGTCACTCTGCATTTCAAATAAATAAATAACTCTTTTTTTAAAGGTATGATTGTAAAAGGCACCTGCAGAAAGGGAAGCGGGGGTTATTCTCGGTGGTATAGAACTTCAGTTTTACAAGATGAAACAGTTCTGGAAAGCTATTGTACAATTATGTAAATATGTGGAACACACTGACCTGTACCTCAGAAAGCATTAAGATGGCAAATTATGTCATGCATCACTTACCACAATGAAAAACATCTTTAAAAATATATTTTTAAAAGACTTCAGGCCCTTCCTACCAGCAAAAGAGTGAAAACCCAATGATTGTCACATATTCAATATGACCACTAAGGTGGCTAAAATTTAAAAGGCTGACAATGCCAAGTGTTGGCGTGGATGTGGAGAAAATGGAGCTCTCATGTGCTACTGGTGGATCACAGCTACTTGGAAATTTTTTATAAAATTAAATGTATACTGGCAGATATCTTCTCAAGAGAATGGAAAATATGTGTCCACAAAAGGGACTTGAACTTGGCACCTTTATTCAAAAGAGCCAAAACTAGAAAGAGCCCAAATGGCAGTCAACTGGCAAGTAAACATGTAGTGGTTTGTACAGTGAAATACTACTGGGCGATAAAACGATTAAAACCACTGGACACCATCAAAGGATGAATTCCAAACGGTGGTGCTGAGGGGGAGAATTTAGACACAAGAGGACACACTGTGCAATCCCACTTATTTCCATTATTTATTTATTCAAGATGCAGAGGGAGAGAGAAGGGGGAGAGAGAGAGAGAGAGAGCGCGAGAGAGAGAGCACTCTCAGCTGCTGGTTCCTTGCCCAAATGCCTGCAACAGCAGGAGATGGGCTGAAGCCCCAAGCCGAGAACTCAGTCCAGGTCTCCCTGGGACGTGTGAGTGTCAGGAACCCAGTTACTTGAGCCGTCACCACTGCCTCCCAGGGTCTGCATCAGCAGGAAGCTGGAATCTGAAGCTAGAGACAGAATTGAACCTAAGCCCTCCAGCGTGGGACTGGGTATTTTGATCTGGGTCTTAACCACTAGGCTAACACCCACCAAATGAGTCTATATAACAGAAAGCAAAGTATATCGTCTTGAACAAAAGAGAAGGCTCCAAGAACCTCTAACTGGATCAGAAAAACAAAATCACGCCTGGCTGTGCCTTTCCAGTGCTTAACCTCCCAATCGCAAATGCATCTGCGACAATGAACAGGCACCTGGAGGCAGCAGGCTCCGGCAGCCAGTAGGGGGAACTCTTTCTCACACAGAGGATCCGTCACTGATGACCTGTCGGGTTCCTCCGGAAGCTGTGAAGGTGTCTCTTACCATCTCCACCGCTGCAGCCGCTCAGCCCCCAGCGGACGGAGCTCAGACTCACCCAGCTGAGACGCCCCCTGACGGGTGGACAAGGAAGAGCTCCAGGGCTACTCGCTGGTGCCTCAGCAGCCATGTTTCTGCCACGGTCCCACTCGGATCTTGGAGATGAGGCTGGGGAGTGTTAAGGGAGCTTATAAACAAAGCCTTCTCTCATTCCGCAGCCCAAGTGATCAGACCTCCGCCATGGGTCGGTGCCTCGTCTCAGGTGCACGAGAGTGGCGTCCTGACTTGTCTGCCAGTTGTTCTGAAACCTGGGAGCCCCACGTTCCCTAATGCCATGAGCATTGCTTTGGCTGCTTAAAGCCGGGTTCCCATGATGCACTACTCTGCCCATTCACAGAACCAAACACAAGACCTCCAGCTTTCTGTCCCCTGCCCCCCAAGAACTCCAGGAATCAGCTTTGCTCCGCTCTGCTCCTCCATGCACCTGTGTCTCCAATCTTGGAACTATAGGTTCAGAAGGGCTTCAGGCTCCATCGGCTCAAAGCACCTGCCTTAGTGGGCATGGCTAAGGGGACACTTCCCAGAGCAGGTACCTGTTACTCCCCAAGGCTGCCATTATTAAGCCAACGTGACTGCTGAAATCTTTACGTGGATTTCAGATCGACCTCCATGGATCCACCTCTGTCTTGGTTTCCACTCCTCATGAGGAACACGGCATTCTGTCTTCTGCACAACAGCACTTTAATGGGGTTCAAAGTCAGCAGCTGTGTGGTCCTTGCCCTGTTTTGTCCCATGTTCCATGTTCCCGTGTTCCTCTTCTGGCTCAGGATAATATCAACTTGGGCCGGCTGGTGGTGCAACAGGCTAATCCACTGCCTGCGACTCGGGCATCCTGTGTCAGAGCACAGGTTCAAGTCCCAGTTGTTCTGATCCGGTCCCTGCTATCCATGTGGGAGACCAGGGTGGAGTTCCTGGCTCCTGGCTCCTGGCTTCTGGCTTCTGGCTCCTGGCTTTGGCCTGGCCCAGCCCCAGCCTTTGCAGCCATCTGGAGAGTGAACCAGAAGATGGAAAAGCTCCCTCTATCTCTCCCCCTCGCGCTGTAACTGCCTTTCAAATAAATAAAAGTGAATCTTTCTAAGAAGTCAACTCAGTTCAATCCAGTTGCTACTCAGTTCTAGGCAGCATGATGAGTGCTTGTGATGCAAAGGTGGGTAATGGTTCCCGCCTTCAAAGAGCTTATAGGGAGGAAGAGATTAGCTGAGCATTGGATGTCTACTCAGAGGAGATAGCAACACTGGGCAGAAACAAGGCCTGGTAACAGTACATGCAAAGACCCAGTGGCATTGCTGGAGTGGCTGGTGAGGGGTGAGAGGGCAGGGTGGGAGTGTAATCAAAGATCATCCTGGGAGGAAGGCCAGAAGCAGATCAGGAATGGCATTTGCACGTCATGCCAAAGTGCTTTAAGCAGGGGAGTGATATACTAATATTTCAGTGTTAGAAAGATTTGCTTGACTGCTCTATGTGGAAGTGACTTGAGAGGGAAAAGAGGGAAGAGAGCGACGTCGTGAGAAGCAGGGGAGAGATGCCCACGGCCTTACCCGAGGTGGTAGCAGTGGGGATGGTCAGACATGGACTCGCTGAAGAGGTGCCAAGACATCAAATCCTTAGGCTCAGATGTGGGAGCAGTGGACAGGGGAGAGGGAAATTCCACCCTGTTTTCTGGCTTGCCTGGATCCCATGACTCAGAAGACAGACAGCAAACCAGGAAAGCAGGCGTGGAGAGGGAGTCGGGGAGGGCCGCTGTGCGCATGCTGCGAGCAGGTGGTGGCAGCTCGGGAGAGATCGGGGTGGAGATAGGGCTGCTGTAAGAGGTCGTTGCAGACACGGGTGTGCATGGAGTCAGCTGGGCAATGTGCAAAGCGTGACCAGGGAAGGGGACTGAGAGCCAAGGCCTGGCCAGCAGATGCAACAGCAGCAAAATCAAGTTTTCAAACACTTGGCCATCCTGGCCCTTCACCCTTTAATGAGAGTTTTGAACGCACACAAAATTCCAGAGGCAGTAAAGTGGAACCACCTCCCATGTTTGGGATGCTCCATTTCCAAAAACACAGGCAAGGACGGCTACTTGGCCTGGTGGTCAAGATGCCAGTTGGGATGCCCATAGCCCACATCAGGGTACTTGGGATGGAGTCCCAGATCCACTTCAAATTCTAGCGTCCTGCGAATGTGCACCTTGCGAGGCTGCCAGTAATAGCTCAAGTATTTGAGTCTTTGCCTTCCACTTGGGAGAGCTGGATGGAGTTTCAGGCTCCTGGCTTTGGCCTGGTCCAGCTTTGGCTGTTGGGGGCATTTGGGCAGCGAACTGGTGGATGGGAATGCGTTCTCTCTCTCTCTCTCTCTCTCTCTCAATCTGTATGTCCCTGTCTCTCTGCCTCTCAAATCAATATAAATAAATAATAGTTTTCAGATGCAGGCAGCATGCCCTGCTGGCTCATATCGACTCTGAATCCAAAAGCGTCACAGGCCACCAGGGTCCTTACTGAGCCTGGCTGTGCTGAGAGCTTTCCGTGCCGGGAAACACAGCCACTACTGACCCCTGGGAGTGCACACTGAGCTTGAGCAGAGTGGAGACAGACGAGCCCACTCTGATGGCAACACAAAACCCTGCCACGCCCAGGACCCGGCGCAGCCTCTCCCACCTTCCCGCCTCTGCACCCACCCGGGATCCTCTCCCTTCCCAAGCTCCCACCAGTCTGTTGCCTCTCAGTTCCACGTGCATCCTTTTGTCTTCTCTGCAGAAGTGGAGCTGGGCCCTTTAGTGATTTCTCCTCTTCGCTGGCAGGGATGAAGGTGAGGGTGCTGGGGAGATATGGCTGGAGGAAAGGAGGTTTGCCCCCTGGCTCCCCAGGGCTTGCCCAGCTACCAACTGGAGCAGCTTCCCCAGTGCCCACTGCAGGGCCAGTGCCAGGCAGCCAGCAGCTTCCCTGCCATCCCTCGCTTGGGGGAGTTCCAGGGTAAGTTCCTCCCGTGAGACCCCCTCCTGTGAACAGCTTTCTCCAGCACTCAGGGTGGAGCAGTTTCTGGCAAGTTCCAGGTGGCAAATTTCCAGAAGGTTCTACTGGCCCAGGACCATAACACTGCTAGTCAGTGAGCCGCAGCCATGACACACTGCTCCAACAATATCTGGGTTCCAGCCCTGCATGCATGACTGCTCCTTGCATTTGCTAGCCTTGTGTTCTTCAGAGTTCTTTTTACTCACCAGCGCCTTGTTTCTCAAACCCCCGATGTAGTTAGGAATTCTTCTTAGTGCATCTTCCCTTCTCCAATTACAGTGTGGTTGGACCTAGACTCATACCCCTCGCTTGCCCGCCTGAAGTCCACTTATGCCCTGAGGCTGGCCTTGGGCATCCTTGCTGTGCTGTGCCTGGCAGAGAGGCCAGCAGAGCAGGCTGCCCGTGCCTGGCCAGGTGCACATGTGCAGGATGTGGCCAACTACTGCCTGGAAGTTATTAGGAGACAGGCGTGCAGGTGGGACTTAGCTCTTACCTGACTAACGACCAGAATCCAGGGAGGCCACAGTCAGGAGACCTCGGATCTGGTGACTCGGGGACAGAGCTTGGCCTCCTTGGAGTCTGCTGTTCAGGCTGACTGTTGTCATCGTCTCGGGCAGGGGGCCTTTAACCATGGCTGCCTCCCTCCACTGACACCTCTGACTTCTCGTCTGCTTCGCAGATACTGTGAAACACGGGCTTCATCCCCAAACAGGCTTCTCTGGCCTAATCTCAGCACAAAGACGGGAGTTGCAGGAAGATTTCCCCAAGATATTTATCCTGGAGTAGTTCTGAAAGCAAATGCTTTGTAAAATCAGTTTTTCAAAACAAAGGGTCTTTATTTGTTTTAAAATATTATTTATTTATTTATTTCAGAGGGAGAGATCACTCATCTGCTGTTTCGTTCCCCAATACCCACAATGGCCAGGACTGGGCCAAGTGAGAGCCAGGAGCCAGGAATTCAAACTGTGTGGGTGGCAGGGACCCAATCACCTGAGCCATGGCCGCTGCCTCCCAGGGTCTGCACGGGCAGGAAGCTGGAGTCAGGAGCCAGAGCTGGGACTGGAACCCAAGCCCTCCACTGAGGCATGTGGACAGCCTAACTGTCGGGCTAAACACAAGCTCAGAGTCAATTTTTATATCAACCGGATAAGTATTTAGCTAAGAATTCCAAAATCCTGGTTTCACCATAATTGGGTGTTTCTAGTTACCTAAAAAGGTTTTCATAAAACTCACAAGAAGATCCCAGTGGGTGGTCTTAATGTAGTTTATCTTAAAATTTAAATCTATGCTCTGTATCGCTTTCAGGAGACATGAAGTAGGTAGGAGTGGAAATGTGTTAAAAAGAAAATAATGACAAGGCAGGAAAATTTCAAAATATGGAAATTAAAGAAAAATTACACAAATCAATTCACATTATCCTGATATGTGCCACAGCTAAAACAAGGGCGTTAAAACATTTATCCACGCACGGGGCCAGCATCGTGGAACAGCAGATTAAGCTGTTGTCTGCAACGCCAGCATCCCATGTAAGCACCGGTTTGAGTTCTGGCTGCTTGGCTTCTGATCCAGCTCCCTGATAATGACCCTAGGAAAGCAGCAGAAGATGCCCCAAGTCCTTGGGCCCCTGAACCCACATGGGAGGCCCAGATGGAGTTCCTAGCTCCTCACTTCAGCCTGACTCAGCCCTGAGCGTTGCAGCCATTTGAGGAGTGAACCAGTGGATGGAAGATCTCTCTGTGTCTCTCCCTCCCTCTCTGTCACTCTGCCTTTCAAATAAATAAATACATCTTATAAAAAAAAAAAAGAAATAAAAACACCTTTATCCAAACACGTACTCACACTCACATGTCTGTTTACTTTCCTCGATCTTGCCCTCATACGTTGTACATACACACAAATGCTTGTCTGTGTTAACAAGCCTGGTTTTCTTATGGTGTTATGCATCAGATTATGTGCTTGCCTGTTTGTTATCCCTGCATTTCTACATTCTTGCTTCAGTTTCTCTGATCCGCCGATTGTTGTATTATAAGGATTGAAAAAGTTAGCACCTGTCAAGTTGTTGTTGTAGTGACAAGCACTAATCAAGTATCATTTTAGTGTAAAAAAATTAAATAGGAATAAATTTAACCAAGGAGGCAGAAGACTTGTACATTGAAAACTATAAAACATTGCTAAAGGAAATTAAAATACATAGAGAGAAATAGGTATCTCGGGCTCACAGAATGGAAATTTCATATTGTTATGATGTCCACACTGCTCGAAGTAATCTACAGATCCAATGAACTCCCCATCAAAACCCAATGATATTTTTTGCAGAAATGGAAAAGCCCATCATAAAATTCACATGGAATCCCCAGATCCACCAGCAGCCGCAGCAGTCCTACAAAACAGGACGAAGTGGGAGACACACTTCCTGACTCAGAACTAACTACGAAGCTACAGCCACGGAAACAGCGGTGCTGGCAAAGTGTCAGACGCACAGATCAATAAAGTGGACCGAAGAACCCAGTCGTGCGTCTTCTCGTGTACAGTCAGATGATTTTTTTTTTAATTTATTTTTTTATTTTTATTTTTTGACAGGCAGAGTGGACAGTGAGAGAGAGAGATAGAGAGAAAGGTCTTCCTTTGCCGTTGGTTCACCCTCCAATGGCCGCCGCGGCCGGCGCGCTGCAGCCGGCACACCGCGCTGATCCGATGGCAGGAGCCAGGAGCCAGGTGCTTTTCCTGGTCTCCCATGGGGTGCAGGGCCCAAGCACCTGGGCCATCCTCCACTGCACTCCCTGGCCACAGCAGAGGGCTGGCCTGGAAGAGGGGCAACCGGGACAGAATCCGGCGCCCCAACCGGGACTAGAACCCGGTGTGCCGGCGCCGCTAGGTGGAGGATTAGCCTACTGAGCCGCGGCGCCGGCCCTACAGTCAGATGATTTTTGACAAAGGTACCAAGCACAGTCTTTTTCAATACATGGTGCTGAGAAAATTGCATATCCATATGCAAAAGGGTGAGATGTTCCCAGCACTGTATAAAGCAATGAACTAAAAATGAATCAGACAACTAAACACAGGAGCTAAAACAGCAAAACCTGTAGAAGAAAACAAGGGAACGTGCCATGACATTAGATTGGCAGTGATGTCTTGGACGCACCACCACAAGCCCTGTGAACAGTAACAGCCCCTCTGGCCCCTTACCACACATCCTCCCCGCTGGCTAACAGGGAGTGACATCTGTGTTTGGGTGGGCAGCCCTCAGGAAGGAGGGGTGCAGGCCAAGCCTCCTGCCAGCTGCTGGCCATCAAGCGGCCCTGGATTTAGAACTTGTCCACAGCTGGACAGACCACCGTGCCTTTCTCCTGCCCTTCACTGCTGGTGGCAGAGCAGTGGTGAGGTGTTGCCACCCCCAGATGTTGAGGCCCCCCGAAGATCATTATCACAGCCAAGTGCCCCATGAGGGGACAGGTCTCTTTAAGCAGTCTCAAGAAAGCGCTGGTGGAAGCACGTGCCCTCTCAAGTTGTCTGGTGCTCACTTGGTTACTCATTTAGCTACAAAGCCTTTGAAGTTAAAAAAGAAATGGAATAACCAATGCTGTGGGTGAATCATTCACTAAAACCCCCATACAGTCTAGTTCGGGGGAGGAATTCTTAGACTGGAGATTTCAAAATGTTAATGTTCTACCAAGGTGTATGCTGGTCTTCAAAATATTATTAATGAGTCATGTCCTGGTTTTTAATATAAC